TATCTCTTAAGGTCGGTTTTAACCTCACTCACCAGTTACTCCTCGGAAACCCTATAAAAGGTTGCTATGGGTTGGAACCAACTTGACGGCACTTAACAACAAATACATAGAGTTTGAACTATCACCTTGTGGTCCAAACCGACCTTGCGGTCCAGTGCTTTATCCTATAGCACCACACCAGGACTCCAATACGCACACACACATACATCTGTACCTGACTACATCTACCTATCTATATCAACCTACTAAAAGACCAGGGTCAACATCTATTTTAAAGCATAAATGGAAAGGTTGGAATGGGACAAAGAAGTTAAGTAAATGGAAGTAAAACAACTAGAACAGAAATAACGAGAATGCTGACAGTAGGTAAAGAAAAGTAACCAATACACTGCCCATTATATATAGAAACTGAGAACTGGGATTGGATTTTGCTCTGCATATTTTCACTAAAAGTAAAATTCTCTTGGTAAAACAAAACGCAATGGGGCTATCAATAGTCTCATGCTGGTCTCTCCAGTAAGACCAAGGTGGAGAACAAGTCTACCTGGTTCGGCGCAGTACTCCCAATCACGAATTGCCAGGTGCTTACACTATGCCTGGCACATAGCAGGATATTAGTAATTATTGATAAAACAAGTGAACCCCTCCTAAATTCAGGTGAGAAGGAGGGATCGTTTTTGGAATACTAACGTATTTTTTATAAATAGGCCAGTTTCCTACCTAGGCCCAGCCACCCGAATGCCGGCCCCTAGCCCCACACCCGAAAGGCACCTCTTGCACAGGGAAGCATCTTCACAGGTGCCGCGCACGCCATCATCGTCAGTGTCACAGCTCAAGGTGGAAGAACAGGTGACAGAGGCTCCTTTCAGGCTAGCGGCCATGGGCGTAGCGATTCTGGATGAATGTGACCAACAGGGACATAGAAGTGGGGTCGGCAGGCAGAGGTAGAAAGAGCGAGCCCTACGGAAAGGTAGGACGACGAACTGAGTTCCACACAGCCCAGCTGGCGCAGTAACGCCGCTCAGGGCAACTTACCCAAGCAACCTTTCAGTTAATTTACCCTCTTAGCCTAGAAGCTCACTGGACAATTTCCCTACACTCATTCCAGACCTGCATTCATTGGAGAGATCATTTAACCCCGCCTATATAACCCGGAAGTTTACCTAAAGAGGCAAAATAACATAAGACGTAACCGCAATGCTCTTGGGAAATGTAGTCTTAGGTGCTTTGGGAGTACTCAGAACGTGTTCATTGCTGGTCAGGCAATTTCATACCTATAATAAACTCGATTAACTCTGGTGGCGCAGTGGCTAATGCCCTCGGTTGCTAACCAAAAGGTTAGTGGTTCAAGCCCACCAACCGCTCCATAGAAGAAAGACATAGTAGTCTGCTTCTATAAGGATATACTGTTGTTGTTAACCCATTGAGTGGATTTCAATTCAGCGACTCTGTATAGGGGTTCCGAGGTTTTAACTCTTCAGAGTGCAGAAAGCCACATCTTTCTCCGGCGAACGGTTGGCAGCTTAAACTGCGAGCTTTGGACCTTGTGGTTCGCGGTCCAGTGTTTATCATATGGAGCCACCACGTTCCTGTAAAGATATATGTGGTTGTTAAGTGTCATCGAATGGGTTCCAACTCATAGAGACCCTGTATAGAGTTTCCAAGGAGTGACTGGTGGGTTTGAACTACTGCCAATGTTACAATGTCACACGGTGGTCGTTATGTGCCATGGAGTTGGTTCCGACTCATAGCGACCCTGTACAGGGTTTCCGAGGCTGTAAATCTTTAAGGGCGCAGAAACCCTCATCTTTCTCCCGCGGAACAGCTGGTAGTTTCGAACTGCTGACCTTACGATTCGCAGCCTGATTTGTAACCACTACACTACCAGAAGTATAATTAAGTGTTCTGGAATACTCATACTTCTCAATGTTGTCCATAGCTTCTCATGATCCACACAATCAAAAGCCTTTGCGTAGTTAATAAAGCATAGGTAAACATCTTTCTGATATTCTCTGCTCTCAGCCAAGATCCATCGGGCATCAGCAATGATATCTCTCGTTCCACGGCCTCTTCTGAATCCAGTTTGAACCTCTGGAAGTTCTTTGTCAATGTATGATTGTAGCCGTTTCTGTGTTACCTTTAGCAAAACTTACTTGCATGAGATATGAAAGAGATTGTCCGATTATTTCCGCATTCTGTCGGGTCACCTCTCTTTGGAATGAGCACAAATATGGATCTCTTCCAATCAGTTGGCCAGATAGTT